GCACCCTTTCGGTGCCGAACCGTTCGCACCCTTTCGGTGCCGAACCGTTCGCACCCTTTCGGTGCCGAACCGTTCGCACCCTTTCGGTGCCGAACCGTTCGCACCCTTTCGGTGCCGAACCGTTCGCACCCTTTCGGTGCCGAACCGTTCGCACCCTTTCGGTCCCGAACCGTTCGCACCCTTTCGGTCCCGAACCGTTTGCACCCTTTCGGTCCCGAACCGTTCGCACCCTTTCGGTCCCGAACTCTTTCGGTCCCGAACTGGCGTTCGCACCCTTTCGGTCTCGAACCGTTCGCACCCTTTCGGTCCCGAACCGTTCGCACCCTTTCGGTCCCGAACCGTTCGCACCCTTTCGGTCCCGAACCGTTCGCACCCTTTCGGTCCTGACACGTTCGCACCCTTTCGGTCCCGACACGTTCGCACCCTTTCGGTCCCGACACGTTCGCACCCTTTTGGTCCCGACACGTTCGCACCCTTTTGGTCCCGACACGTTCGCACCCTTTTGGTCCCGACACGTTCGCACCCTTTCGGTACCGACACGTTCGCACTCTTTCGATCCCGATACATTCGCACCCTTTCGGTCCTGCCACATTCGCACCATTTCAGTTTCGATACGTTCGCACCTCTTGGGTCACGACACGTTCGTACCTCTTGGTTCATGAAACATTTGTACCTCTTGGGTTACGACACATTCGTACCTCTTGGGTCACGACATGTTCATACCTCTTGAATCACGATACGTTCATACCTCTTCGGTCACGACACATATAAATATTATCTTCTAAAAAGTCAATATTAATATTTAAACTTATGAAAAAGTAAGACAAATATGATCGTGGCTATATAAATGAAATATATGCCTTTTCAATGAAGAGTTGTCAAATATTTGATGACATCATCAATCATATGAAAAGGTTTTTTTGGTTCATTAGATCTTAAAATCAAGTTAATTATGACCATTGGATTGAATTTTTTTTTTCCTATAAAAAATGCTGATGTCACTTTCAGTTTGCTATTATATATAGATTTTTAGTTATGAGATATATTCCACATGTCACAATCTTAAACATATAATTACCATGTGTCGCGATGAAGTTAATTTTTAATCAGTAAAAAACCAAACTTTATATAATAAGATAGAGATTTGTTTCCTAATTTTTGGTCATTCTTAAGACTACGTTTCCTTTTTTGCCTTGCGGACCACGTTTACTTTTTGTCTTTTTGTCTTGATTCCCTTCAGACGACACGATTATATAATCCAGCTTCGTTAGTGAAATCAATTTGAGGGTCTTGTTAGCTTTTGGTGAATCTCTTGCAAACTGGAATCGAACATACATTGCATATGATGGTCGGAGAGTTTAAGTCAGAATATTCCAGTGATTTTTTTATTCTTTCGCTTCCAGCAGACATAACTGTTGTCATCTTTCGTTTACTTTCTCCAACCGACATATGCAATCTAAGCTGCTGCTGTAAAAGCCTATGCGATATTGCGAACTCTGAGAATGTCTGGCTTGACCAATGCGAGATAGCACAGGTTATTCCTTTGTCTGAAATAGTGCAATGGCGAACTGGTGTCTCTTCTTACAAGGCTCTTTGTCGGTTTCTTGTAGAGGTAATGAAGCCTCTTGTTGGGGTTTGGGTTCACCAAGAACCTGAGCTTGGGAATGTTGTTTACGTGATGCCAGGTTTCTTGTCTGTTGTTGGTTGCCGGATAATCCCACAAAAGGTTGGTCCTTTGGGTATTCAAGAAGGCCGGATTATGTGGTCACCAGTGTTTGAGATAATCTGCGGTTTTGACGGCTCCACCAAGTTTTTTCTTAATGGAAGCGATGGAAAAGACAGTTGCTTGTACCCTGGTTTGGTTACAGGAATCGAAAAGAGCTGCAATGTGCTCTCACTGGAGGTTGAGCCGAGGCGAGAGAAGACTAATAGCGAAGCCTCGAGAAATGTGTTGTTTTCGAAGTTATCTTGTACAGATAAAAAAAATTTAGTCGAACTAGTGACGAACCATGTAGGGCTACATGTATCTGAACCATTGAGTGTAAAGTTATTCCCCACAGCGAGAGAAGATGAAGGGATGTTGTTGGACCGTAGAACCATGCTCCTTAAAATGCACAAGTTTGGTGAGAATTGGAAGCACATGAACCTGGAGGAGAATGGGCTGTGTTGTTACAATCCTAAGCATGTAGACATAAACGAGATGTGGGAGAAAAATCACGGTGCTTACTTTGAATACATAGCAACAGAAGAAGAAAGAGAGATTAGATATTTGAATCGCCAAGCTTTTAGCACTAGTGATACATTTGGTCTTAGTCTCAATGCTTCGTACACTGCTGATGTGTGTTCTCGGATTAGAGGGTGGCCGAACATGAACGGTGAAAACTTTTCTCTCTACAAACTGCCGGTTAAAAATTCCATGAATGACCAAGAGCATGCTGGTCTGTGGGGAGGAACATTTGGGTGGCCACCTGGGAGATGTAATGAAGATGCAACAGGAAATGCTTTTTATCTACTGATGCTCTCTTACCAAGAATTTAAAAAGAACAATGGGAAACGTCTTATCGGGACGAAAATACTTGAAGGCACTGACTATGTGAATCGTCCTAATGGAACACCAATGTTTGTTGTGGATATTGACTCACCTTCCCTTGAACCCTTTCCCTTTGATGCAGATGGAATAGACTTTGAGCATTCTTACAAGGGAGAGGGTATCACAGATGGTTATGGTTTCCGTTGTCCCGATTTTAAACCCGGTTCACTTTATGTGATCTCTGATGATCATTTTGCGTTCGTTTGGCATGGAACTAAAGATGTGTTTACTTTGAAAAGAGTAAACATTGAAGAGATCTTAAAGAAAGGTTTAGGTATGTGCGTGCCTCCTTTGCCTCCAACTAATAACTTTACTTATATGGGAAGGTCTTACACAAACGTCTTTACTGAGCCATGGTTATGTCATTCTTCCTCCGACTCTGAGTGAAGAATGTTGAAGATATACTCTGCAAGACTGCAACAGATCTAAAACGCTTATAAACTCATATCTGAATGTCTTGGTGACATCACTTTCTTCTTATATTTACAATCATCCCCTATATATTAATTAGAACTATTTGAAAAGATGTAACCTTAAGTTTGTATTAATTAAAAAATAACCCGATTATACGTGGCATCTCTCTATGCCTTTTATTTCAAAATAGAATAATTCTAGAGCTTCTAACATAAAGTATAGTTTAAAAATTATACTCTTTAGAAATATAATATTTCACAAACTATAGTTGGTCGCATATATCAAATATTTATTGTTTCGCAAGATTTCTTTAAATAAAACCTATGGAATTACCTAATGTGATTAAAATATATATATATATGACAATTAATTATTTTTAGACAATAAAGATTTGATAACAATCTGTATACTTTTTATCATTTTGTTTATTTTTTATTATTAAAATAAATTACACAATTACATTAATCATATAATAAAAATCTAGATTTTTTTTTGTGTATGTTGTATTTTGAATTTTTCAAAGCAAGTATAAATTACTAAAACTGTTAAAAGTCTCACATAAGATTTTAGGATCAAGGTTTAAATTTTTTTCTATATTAAGATACAATGATACGACCATATGAAGAAATAATTTTATTTTAATAGGTTTTACTTTAAAATATATGCATATATATATATATATTTTTCATATCGTTTAAATTAAACTCTACATTGTATGAAAATACATACTTATATTTTGATATTTGCATTGAACATATATCGAAAAGTTAATATTTTAATTTTAAAATCTGTCATTGTTTTTTTAAAATGATTATAAATTATTGAAACTACTAAACATCTAACATTAAAAAAGAATTCGTTGGTGTAAAGTTTTCTTACACAAATATGCAAATAATCATAAATCATATGAGTAGAAACCTCTTTTTAATAAATATTCATATTAAAAGTGTGTTATATATTTATGTTAATATCATTTAAATTTAATTATATATATCATATACGATATAGAAGATTTATTGTTTTTATTTATTTACCCTAATTGCGATAAACAAGAGTGATCGCTAGATTTATATGCATACGCCAATTTATTACATAATAGTAACTGATTTCTTAGTTATTTAATATATATACTTATTATTATTATTTCATAATATTCAGAAAAATATAAAAAAATAATAAATATAAAATACTTATTGTGCATAAAGTACAGATCTTAAGCTAAGTATGAATCTCTTTAATTATTTTAAATCTTAAGCATTTTCTAAATCTCAGGCCATAACAAATAAACGAAATGAGAATAAACTTCAAAATCAATATTTATATCGAGTAATAACCAAAATAAAAAAACACAAAAAAAGAAAAGTATTGAAGATAGATATGATTAACACGAAAACATAAATTTCTCATAACCATAATTAATTAACTGAGTTAATTTTTAATTTGTTAATTTTTTTTTAAATCATTATGGTTATGTTCAATCATGACCATAATTAATTTTTAATTTTTAATTTTTATTTGAAAAACTTAAAATATTATTTTTAAAATAATTTTAGTTTTTAAATAAATAAAATTTAAAATTATTTTTTGTGTAAAATTATTTCTTTGTTTAAAAAATATTTTTTTAAAATATAATTTTCTGCTATTATTAGACAAATAAATAAATCATATCAAATTAGTTTTGAAACTTCAGATATTTTAAATGCAAATATTCTACCAACTGCTTTTTAAGAAAGCATTAGGGAATTTGCTAATACTCTATTAATCAAGCCATGTGACACTCCGTTTATTTTCACTCACTCAAACACTGAAAAGTGAAAAGATATGTGAAATCGGGCCCAATAAATTGTAAGCTTTGATCTATAGTTCTATTTACAATTTTTTTTCTGATCTCATGTATAGATAATTATAGAAAAATTCTAAAATTCAAAATACATATAAAAAAATCATATGTAAATTTTAAATTTGTCAATACTAAAATTTTATATTTTAATTACATACATTCATCATGCGCATTGCGCAGGTCTTATCCTAGTTAATCATTATGCTTGTATCGTGTGTATTTAATTATTTATTCACTCGACAAAATAAATTTAGAAAGATGATTAGAAATATGTTAAACCAAAATACTATAACAAACTAGATGATAACCCGCGTCATTGGCGGGATGAGTTTTAAAAAAATATGTTGTATTTAAATACATATTTTGCTATCAATAACTCTTTTTTCCATTTGATTATGGATCGATGTGTATTTGGGTACCATTTGGTTCATTTAAATTCTGTTTGGTTTAGATCTTTGCGGTTGGATTCGAATCTTTGCAGGTTCAGATTGGACTTGGGTTCGAGTAACTCTTTTTTGAAAAGATTAAAATTCATATATACTTTATATTTTTGAAAATTAAAAAGTAAAAATAATATATAACATATAAATTTGAAAAATGAATGTCACTATACTTAAACTTAGCATAAAATTGGTTTATCTTAAATATTTGGACAAAAAATCAATAAATATTTCAAATATTTTTGGTATTTGGAGTATCGTTTAGCTATTTTAAAAATGTATGTTTAACTATTTTTATATATTTCTAATTATTTTAGAAAATTTTAAAAAATCTCCTGTATTTTGTATATTCTTAGATGTTAAATTTAAAAATAATTAATATACTTAAGTATATAAATATGGTTCGAGTACACTTAGATACCCGAAATATTTTGATTTAGTTTTGGTTTTCTAAATACCAAAATTTCGAATCCGTTTGGATATCTAACAAATTTTGGTTAAAAAGTTTTACTATTTTTTGGATTAGATTTGGTTCGGTTATCTGGATTCATTTTTTTGCCCAACCATATATTTTTTATTGTAACAAAAATTTAAATGAAAGAGTTGATGGTTCATATTGATTTTGGGTATGCAATAGTCTTTAAACAAAACACACTCTATCATGCACGATCCATTTAATTAATCATTATGAACTTTTTAACAACCATTAGAAAAATGATTGGCTGAACTAAAAAACGTTATCATTGATCACAAAATTTTCAATGTGAGATTTTTACCATGATAAGTAATTTATGATCGTTTTAAAAAAAATAAAATATAACATATAAAAAATCTAATTTTTTATTATATGATTAATGTGATTGTTTAGTTTCTTTTAATAATATAAAATTAAATAAAAAGTAAAGACGATAAAAAATTGTTATCAAATCTTTATTATTCATAAACATTAATTGCGATGTATATGTTAATCATATTAGGTAATTCCGTAACTTTTATCTAAGGAAATAATAGAAATCATTCTTTTCTACACTACTAACTAAATATAATAGTTAGTATACTAAAAATATAACATATGTTTAGTTGGACCAACATATTTCTCTAAGAGTTACGAAAATCATTCTCATTGTGACACGTGACTACAAAAAAATGTTGTAATGCTCAAGGATTATTATATATGGGATTTAAACTACTAATCAAAAATATTATATGTGAAGTTTTTAATTTCCCTATATATTAATTGAGAAGCATTACAACATATTTTGGTAGCCATGTGTCATCATAGGAATGCTTCTCAAATTTACTAGAGAAAAACGTTGGTCTATAAAACATATAATATACTTTTTATTAAACTAAACATAAAACTATTATTAATGCTAATCCTTATTTCCTTAAATAAATTTACGGAATTACCTAATTGTCATATATATATATATATAACCATATAGGTAATTTCGTAAATTTTTTTAAGAAAATAATGAATAGCATTAATAATAGTTTTATGTTTAGTTTAAAAAAAATATATTATATGTTTATATAGACCAACATTTTTCTTTAGTAAATTTGAGAAGTATTATTATCATGACACGTGGCTACCAAAACATGTTGTAATGCTTCTCAATTAATATATAGGGGATTGAGAAAAATATTTTATGGGATAAACTGATCAATTTTAAATTTTCAGAAAAACTAATATGTGATCTCTATAATATCTCCTATATATTATTTGCGAAGTGATTTGCCACATGTTCTTTCTACAATCATTTTTTCAAAAAAAAATGATGACATGGCTACTGATGTCATGACTTATAGTTAAAGATGACATGGAAAATTATATTTATTACTCATATATATTTGGTAAATTTTATATAATATGACAATAACTATTACATTACATTTAATATTGATTTATATTTTTGGTAAAATTCTTAAAATAATGTAATAACTCATAAATCAAATCATCACTAATATATATATATATATATATATATATATATATATATATATAATCAAATCATCACTATAATATATATATATATATATATATATATATTGAAATATGCATTATAAATTTCAAAATGTTATTTAATTTTACCTTTATAGTTATAGAAATTTTATTACTAATATTTTCTACATTTTCTACATTTTTTAAAAAAATAAGAAAATTTTAATCGTAGTATCATTAGTTTTGTTTTAGATATCGACAAATTTTATAACTATTTTTAGTTATAATTTTAATAACTATACAATTTTTAAATGAATTTTCTTTAGTAATTTTATACAAATTGATATAATAGAATTAACCAAATAAATTGATAAACAAATCTCTAAGATTCATATTTTTAACTGTATTGTATATATATATATATATATTATAAATATAATTTAAAATAAACAAATTTAATTTTTTCTTAATTTTGTGCTTAATTAAATTAAATCAAATTTATATCAAATATTAGTCAAACTAATAGAGTGTCGGTTTGGGGTGAGGGTTACTCAAATGTTAATAAATTTCGTTTTAATATAATTTAACTTTTAAAAAAATTAGCACTATACATGGTGCAGGAAAACACCTAATTATACTTGAAAAAACTAGTTTTTAATGTTGCATACATATTAATTCTTGCAAATAAAATATATACATTATACCCGTTAATGAATTAAAACTATTATGGTCAATTACCTTTTACATTTTA